AGTCTCGCCATGCCGCCCAAGGACTACAAAAAGAAGAAAGATGCTGGAAAGTTGGCCAAGAAAGACAAAGACCCAGTGAACAAATCTGGGGACAAGGCCAAAAAGAAGTGGTCCGAAGGCAAAGTTCGGGACAAGCTCAGTAACCTAGTCTTGTTTGACAAAGCAACATATGACAAACTCTGTAAGGAAGTTCCCAACTATAAGCTTATAACCCCAGCTGTTGTCTCTGAGAGACTGAAGATCCGCGGCTCCTTGGCCAGGGCAGCCCTTCAGGAGCTCCTCAGTAAAGGTCTTATTAAACTAGTTCAAAGCACAGAGCTCAAGTAATTTACACCAGAAACACCAAAGGTGGGGATGCCCCAGCTGTTGGAGAAGATGCATGAATAAAAGGTCCCACCAGCTGTACATTTTGAAAAATAAAACTTTATTAAATCAAAAAAATATATATATATATCTTTATTGATTTCAGAGAGAGGAGGGAGAGGGAGAGAGAGAGGGGAACATCAATGATGAGATAGTCATTGATCGGCTGCCTCCTGCACACCCCCGACTGGGGATGAAGCCCACAACCCAGGCATGTGTCCTGACCAGGAATCGAACCGCGATCTCCTGGATCCTAGGTCAACGCTGAACCGCTGAGCCACGCCCAGCTGGGCTGTATCTTCCTTTGCTTGCTGCAAGGATGCTGCTTATCCTCCCACCTCTTTTTTTTTTTTTTTTTTTTTCCTCACCTGAGGATATTTTTTTCCCCATTGCCTTTAAGAGAGTGGAAGGGAGAGAGAGAGACACCGATGTGAGAGAGACATTAAATGGTTGCCTCCCACACAGGCTCTGACCACTGGGGCCAGGGATCAAGCCTGCGACTGAGGTACGTGCCCTTGGCCGGAATTGAACCCTACACTCTTCAGTCCGCAGGCCAGTGCTCTACCCCGAGCCACTGGCAGACTGTATGCCACACTTTGCTTTTTCACTTGTTGATGGACATCTGTGTTGTATCCACCTTGGACTTGTGAACAAACAGTGCCACAGTGAACACGGGCACACAAACACCTTTTGGAATCCCTGCTTTAATGCTTTTGTTTATACATCTGCAAGTAGACTTGCTTGGTCATATGGTTATGCTATGTTTAGTGTTTTGAGGAACCACTGAAACTGTTTTCCACAGTGGCAACACCATTTTCCATTCCCACCAGTGATGGATGAGGGTTCCAGGTTCTTCACAGCCTTGCCAACACTGGTTACTCTTCATTTTTTTTATTATAGCCATCCTATTATGAAGTGCTGCCTCGTTGTGGTTTCGATTTGCATTTCCCTAATGATTAAAGATGTTGAGCACCTTTTCCTGTGCTTATTGGACGTTTGTATATCTCTTTTGGAGAAATGTCTGTTCTGGTCCTTTGTTTATTTTTCAGTTGGATTGTCTTTGTTGTTGAGTGTTAGGAGTTTGTTATGTACTCTACATATTAAATTGGTGATTTGCAAGTATTTTCTTTCATTCTGTGTTGTCTTTTCACATTCTTGATATTGCCCTTTTATGTACAAAACTGTTTAATTTTACAAAGTCCAGTTTATCAGATTTTTCTTTTGTTGCTTGTGCTTTTGGTTTCCGATCTAAGAATCCATTGCCCTGTCTACAGTCATGAAGATTTGCCTCTAAGTTTTCTTAGAGTTTTTGATTTTAGCTGGTTTTTTTTTAGGTTGTTGACCTATGTTGAGTTAATTTTCATATGTGATGTAGGGGTCCAGATTCATTCTTTTGCATGTGGATATCTAGTTTCTCAGCACCATTGTTGAAGAGACTGTCCTTTTCCCATTGAGTGGACTTGGTACCTTTGTCTGAAATCATTGACTACGTATGGGTTTATTTCTGAGCTTTCATATATGTTCCTTTGGTCTATATGTCTGCCTTTTCGTCAGCATCACACTGTTTTGATTACAGTAGCTTTGTAGTAAGTTTTGAAATTGGGACGTGTGAGTTCTCTGACTTCGTTCTTTTTCAGGATTGTCTTGGCTGTTCAGGGCTGCTTGCTTGCCCTTGCTGTTTTTTTATTTTATTTTATTTTATTTTATTTTATTTTATTTTATTTTATTATTTTTTTTTATTTTATTTTATTTTAAAATATATATATCTTTATTGATTTCAGAGAGAGGAAGGAGAGCGCACGCAAGAGAGAAAGAAACATCAGTGATGAGTCATTGATCGGCTGCCTCCTGCACGCCCCCGACTGGGGCTCGAGCCCACCACCCGGGCCTGTGCCCTGACTGGGAATTGAACTGCAATCTCCTGGATCCTAGGTTGATGCTCAACTGCTGAGCCTTGCCCGGCTGGGCTGCCCTCGCTGCTTTTGAAGGGTTATTTCCCCAGTTACAGTGTTCCAGATCACCAGTTACTTTTTTTCAGTATTTGGTAGATATTCTAGCTTTTACTGTTTGGGTGGAGAAGTCAGCTCTTGGTCTGGTGGTTTTTCTTTTGAAGACAATCTATTTCCTTTCCCGTACTCAGCTATTTTATGATTTTTCTCATAAAAAAAATCATAGCTTGTCTTTGATTGCTCCCAGATCGCTTTAAATAAGCCTGGGAATGAGATGATTTGAAGTTGGCCTTCAATCCTTACAAGGGCTAGTCTGTTTAAAGTTGGTTCCTCCTTACTCTTAGGATGAACACATTTGGAACCCCGGTACAAAACCCTAGGAACCTCCACCTTCCTTGGGAGATTGTGATTTTCAGTGTTGATTTCTTAGCCCCTCAATTCTGTCCAAAGCTCTGTTTAGCTTTTCAGTTTTTCAGCCTCTTCTACCAAAACCAGCAGGTGCCTGGAGGAGAAAAAGTTGTTCTGTATGCTTAGGTCCACTCTTTGGGTTTTCCTCTTTTCCCAGATACAGGCATATTTTGGTCATATTGGGGGTTCAGTTTTAGACCACTGCAATAAAGCGAATATTGCATTAAAGCGAGTCACATGAATTTTTGATTCCCACTGCATATAAAAGTTAGTTTACAGTGTACTGTAGTCTATTAAGTTTGCAATAGCATTATGTCTAAAAGAGCCAGTGAACGTAACTAGAAGATACTTTATTGCTAAAAATGCTGACCATCATCTGAGCTTTCATCACGTTGTAACTTTTTGCTAGTGAGGGTCTTGCCTCAAAGTTTATGGCTGTTCACTGATCAGGGTGGTGGTTGCTGAAGGTTGGGGTGACTGTGGCAGTTTCTTAAAATAAGACAAACAACAGTGAATTTTGCCCCATCAGCATTCGATGCTGCTGGATAGCATTTACCCACAATAGGATTTCTTTCAAAAGTGAAGTCAGTCCTTTCAAACTCAGCTGTTGCTTTATCAGCTACGCTTATGTGTTATTCTGAATCCTTTGTTGTCATTTCAACAATCTTCACAGCATCTTCACCAGGAATAGAGTCCATCTCAAGAAACCACTCTCCTTCCTTGCTCACCCACAAGAAGCAGCATCTTACCCATTAAAGCTTTATCATGATATTGCATCAATTCTATTCCATCTTCAGGCTCCACTTCTAATTCTAGTTCTCTTGCTGTTCCCACCACATCTGCAGTTACTTCTTCCACTGAAGTGTTGAACCCCTCAAAGTCAGACATGAGGGTTGGAATTACCTTCTTCCAGACTCCTGTGAATGTTGACATTTTGATCTCTTCCTATGAATCACAAATATTCGTAAAGGCATCTAGAATGGTGGATCCTTTCCAGAAAGTTTTCAGTTCACTCTGCATAGGGTTGCTTCAAACCTTCAATTTGTAAAAGACTCAATATCTGTGAAGCTCGATAAAGTGAAGTGTGGTAAAATGAGGTATACCTGTCTGCTTGAAGCCCTGCTGGCTATTCTGTTGGATATATACCCAGAGGTGGAATTGCTAGATTATCTGGTCATTCTCTGTAGCCTTTTGAGGAAACGCCGTACTGTTTTCATAGTGGCTTCATCATTTTACATTCCCACCTGCAGTGCACAGGAGTTCCAGTTTCTCCACATCTTTGCCAGCACTTGTAGTTTTCTGAGTTTGTTTTTTGACATTAGCTGTTCTAATTGGTGTAAAGTGATTTTAAAAAGTAGTTTATTTAGCTTTTCTAGTTCTCAGCAGAAGGGTAGATCCAAAAGTGAAACCCTCCATCTTATTTTTGCACCTAGCACAGTGGGCACTTAATAAATAGGTAGAAGGGAGGAGAGAAGGTAGAGAAAACGCTCTGAAAACTAAGGTGGTAGCAAATATAAGATGTCAGTGATAGCGCAGAATAAAGGGTAAATTTTGGCCTCTGGAGTCAGAATGACCTGATTTGAAGCTGTGTGACTTTCAATAAGTTATTTTACCTATATTAAATACTATTTTCTTATAGAATTTTATTTTATGTAAAGCAGATTACTAGACTAGGACTCAAAAAATGTGTATGGTGGGGTTGGGGGACTGGGTGGAAGAGGTGAAGGGATTGAGAAATACAAATGGGTAGTTAGAAAATAGTCCTGGGGATGTAAAGTACAGCATGGGGAATCCAGTTAATAGTGTAATAACTATGTATGGCGCCAGGTGGGTACTGGAAATATCGGGGAGACACTTTGTAAAGCGTATTATTGTCTAACCACTGTGCTGTACACTTGAAACTAATACAAATTAATATTGAAAACAAACTGAAATTGAGCAGTGAGTCATGTTTGTTCAGGAGGTGGTGGAAGGGACGGTACCTCCTTTACAAAGATGAGCTGTCTGTCTTGAGGATGACACGAGGCAATCCAACAGAAAGTTCTGGCGTTTAGTAGGTGCTCAGTGTATTCTAGCCATTGTTGTTTTCTGCACTTGTGATTTTTGTGTTTGCTGATTGAAGTCCCGAGTCTAAAGTGAACTTGTCCTTTCCAAAGGCATTTCTTTCTCCCCAGCGCTCTGTGATAACGGTTTCCACTGCACACTGTATTTGCTTGCAGAAAAATGGAGCATTACCTCTGCCACCACTTACTGCTCATTCGGTTTTTCTCACTCTGCCAGGACTCTGGTTAGGAGTGGAATGGGACAACCCGGAGAGAGGCAAGCACGACGGCAGCCGTGAAGGGACTGTGTATTTTCAGTGCAGGTAACTTCTCATTGTGAATCCGCATGGTTACTTACGAAAACACTTAATAGCTGAATAAAGGGGCTAGGGAAGAAGTGGTTGGCTCTCGGGTTCACTCTGTAATGTAGAATTTGGTGTATTCTACACAGACAGTTCTATTTGTAGAGTTTCTTCCCATGTTTTAAAAACTGATTCTTAACTTTACAAGTGGGGTTGCTTTCTTTGTTGTTTCTGTTTTTTCAGCTTTTTAGAAACTGGATGAATGTAAACATTTCTCCTTGATTCATTAACATTTTACAATCCATTAAGTGAATAATAGAAAAGAGAACTAGCCTGGGGACCCGGTGAGGCACAGGGATCAAACAACATACGTAACACCCCAGCAGCCTGCTGGCGCTGTTCGCCGACCCGCTTTCTCTCCCTGGGAAAGAAGGGCACACTGAGTATGGCGTGCCCACCGGTGCCTGCCGCTGCCTGGCTTCAGAGAGGCTGCGTGGAAGCTGACAAGGGGGCGGGGACTTTCAGGCAGTTTCTCTCTTACATCCTTGCTGCTCTTTGTTTTCCTTGGGTTTCAGTTACTCAAAAGGATTTCTCAATATTAAGCTTTTTTTTTTTTTTTTTTTTTAATGTGGTGTGGTGAACACGATCCTGGCTTGGAAATCAAGAGACCCCTCACTCTGCTTTAACAATCTTTATGACCCTGGACAAGACTAAATTTGCTAACCTCTAAAATGAAGGTCAAAATTAGATAATAGCAAATGTTTCCTAGCCTACCATTCTGTAATTTTAGCGTTGGGGTAGAAAAGAATCAGCTTGTTCCTGTGGGCCAGCTCTGAGGGCAGGCATGGAGTGGGCCAGCTCGGGATCCGTCCTGAGTTCCTGGGAGAGGGAGGTGTGGAAGCAGAAAGTTCCTAGCCTGGCTTGTTGATCCCTTCCCTACCCTTCAGGGAAGGGCCTTTTCCTGGGGAGCCTGCCCCAGCCTACTTCCAGCTTCCAAAAGCTTGCCCAGGTCACCCAGGAGTCATGGTCTCTGGATACCCTGTTTTCAGCCTTACTTTCTCTGAGTAGAAGACTCAAGATTTGGTTCAGTCCTGGCTGATGTAGGATTTGCCTGGAAGGCTGGTAGGAAGCTCAGGTCAGGGATCAACTCGGGTTTGAATTCCTCCCCTTGGAGAAAGCATATCCTTTGTTCTGTCTTCCTGTATAGTCATGCCTGAGCATTTACATATTGAAATGCATATCTTATTATAAATTACTTTGTTCATTATAATGGGTACTTTGTTGACTTTGAAGTCCTGTAGGGGTAGATAATGTTACCTGCGGATTCTGTTTCAGAGTATTTGGGGGCAGCATAAAAGGGTGCGTCGGTGTGACATGGGAGAGATCACGGGTCTAGACAGAAGGCACTGCCTTGTCCTTCGTGGTGGTTAATGCACACGTTCCATTGATTAGAACCTGACTTCAACTAGTAAAGATGCTACCTCTGCCTTAGACTCGAAATCAGACAAAGCAGATTTGCACCGTGAGCGTGCATTTTTTATTACACTGTCGAGTCTCTCACTAATACGTCACGTACACTTTCCTTTTAAGAAGTCTTTTTATATTTCAAATTTTACTTGGAAAGTCATAATAACAAGATAAGTATTTTACCACAGTAAACATTTTCTTTATGTTTACATGCTATTTTCATGAAGCCAAAGCAATGAAAGTTGTCAGAGCATACATTTTTGTGCAGCCAGCAAATGGCAAAATGGTGGTGCACCCATTTTAAATAAGAAAGTTTGAGTCAAAAGTTGTCAGATCTTCAGAGGGGTATGTTAATATCAAATGGTAGGGTGTGTTAGATGTATAACAATGTAGTTAGTTTGCTTTATACCTTACAGATATTACGGTATACTGAGCGGAGTGTTTGGTGAGCTCAGCTTCTGAGTCTCCCCAGCGTCCCAGGCTGGTAGAATGACACTTTTTTGTGCAGGGCTGGGTCCTCCTCTCTAGGAAAAGACTTTAGAATAGACAGTGTTGTTTTTAGGGTCCGGCTCATGGCCTGCATTCTTACCAGGATGTTTCCCTGGCTAGTGCAGCTCACGTTGCTTTCATGAGACTCCAGTTAAGAATAGGATAACATTTACAAGGGTCCAGCCTCTGCTTTAACAATGACCTTGAGAAGAATATAGGATGGGCTTTAACCCAGGGAATAAATATTTTTACAGTCAGCTTAGTGTTTCCATGTCTAATCGCATTTGTTCCTCATTCTAAATACCTGCGGTGGCTATGACAGGTATTGTTAATATCTCCCACCGATGACCGAGTGCAGTAATGGGCTCCGAGTATAACATGGGAAACTAGAGCTGAGCTAAAATCCTGGCTGTGGACTCCTCATTGTAGGTTTCTCAAAATAGGGTAGATTTTTCTTTTGACTAGTTGCTTCATCAGGCCCCTCTGAACGTGGGTTTTGATCATTTCATGTCACTTTAGTTTCAGTCTGATCTTTTCCCTTATATAATCTGAGGTAAGTATGGCAATCTCCTGAGCTGTCATTACCCATAAGCAATATTTGTGATACTATCACCTAAGAGTAGTTTCCAGGTTTACCCAAAACTCATGACTGCAAACCAGCTACCACGTCTCTCCCAGGGGCTCTGTTCCCCATCCCTCCTCTTGTGGGAGTGGGAGGCTTAGTTAAGGGGGTTACCCATGAAGTTCTCTCTACCTGGTCCCTCAACAGCAGAGTGATTTCCAGTTGTTTAAATTTCAACCTAAAGTATGGAGTATAGTTTAAACAGAACCCCATGTGTCCACTCAGCTTTTACTTAAAATGTTCTCTTTTGGCACGTCTCCCTCTCGGGAGCAGACCCGAGCCTTTCCCCTCCCTCCTCCTCCCTCCTCCCCCAGGCCCGTCGTTACCTTTGCCTTCTTCCCTGCTAAGCTTCCAGGGTCATCCTCCTGCTCTGTCACTTGTTTCCTGAGCCTACGCAGCACAGATGCCCCACTTCTTCTACCTCTGTAGAAATAAACTTTCTCTTATAATTTGAAATAAATAAATATAAATAAATAAGTAAATAAAATGTTCTCTTTATAAGCAATTCTATGATTTCTCTTTTCTGGTGAGCAAGAAATCTTAAAATCATATTGTCTTCACGACCAGTGAGCAGAACCTAACTTGAATACTTGGAATCAGAGGGGACACACCATTCAAGACTGTATCCCCAGCACTGGGGCGGGCGGATTGGGGCTGAATTGCAGAGATGGAGACTCGGGCCCACCCCCGGTGCTGCAGGTTAAACTGGGGAGGGAATCTCTGCTGTAGAGGTTTCCCAGAGGAGCGAGGGGTCCCAGCCCACAGCAGGACCCCAGCCCAGGGCTCCAGGGCCAGGAAGAGAAGAGTCCACAACTTCAGGCTGTGAAGCCAGCGGGGACTGTCCCTGAGGGTCCCGGAGGCTGCAGGAGCCCCAGTCTTTCCTCTTAAAGGGCCCACGCATGGACTCACTCAGACGCGCTCCCTCTGAGCCCAGCACCGGGCAGCAGCTTGAAGGGAACCTGGGACACTTGGGGAGGCACTAACCTGCCTGAAATTGGGGTGAGAGGTGGAAGGGCGGCTTTGTCCCAGGCAGAAGAGCCGGCAGAGGCCATGGCTCCTTTGGCGAGTCAGCCCCGCACACAGGCACCATATTTGAATCACCAGCACCTGACTCACACCGTTGGCCCCGCCCCGTGATTCCCGGAGGCCCCGCCCCTCCCCACCTGCAGGCTCATCCAGGCCATTTCCAGGGACTTTTCTGTGCAAGTGGCCTCTCTAGCCTTATGCTTAGGACTTTCCTAAAATCTCTCATATGTGCAGCAACGTGCCCTATACGGCTTGATAAGTGGCCCCAGGCCTGGCACTAGCGGCAGCCTACATTGGCTCATAGCTTGGCCTCTCCTGGGCACCTCCAAGCCCAGCACAAGTAGCAGCTAACTACAGTTTGCTGTGTAGCTCATGCTGGGTGGCCCTGGGCAAGGCACTGGCACAGGCTGACTTTGCACCTCCCAGGAGGCCCTAGAGNNTATGCTGGATTACAACCCTACCACATCCATAAATGACACACTCAAGGGGCGCAATGGTGAACACCAAAGCTCCACTGAAGTAAATCCTGCTCCATAGGGGTGTCTCCAGCACAGCACCTCTTTGGCTGTAGTTGCAGTTGGTCCTCACAGCTGATTGGTCTTGGGGTCAATTCCTCCCAGTGACGCCAACTACAACAGGCTCAACTACAATGGGACAGTGCACACAGCCCACAGGCTCAACTACAATGGGACAGTGCACACAGCCCACACAGGGGAGCACCTAGAGGGCCCAGCTCAGGTGACTGGGGAGGCTGAACCACTGGACCCTACAGGACACCTACTACACAAATCTACTCTACAAATTCCAGGAGACATAGCAACTCTAGCCAGTACATAGAAACAAACACCTGGAAGCAGCCAAAATGTGGAGGCAAAGAAATATGTCACAAAGGAAAGAACAGAAGAAATCTCTAGAAGAGGAACTAAATGAAATAGATCCAAGCAAGCTAACAGATACAGAGTTCAGAATTTTGTTTATAAGGATGTTTAAGGATACTATTACGGAGATAACTGAGAAAATCGATAACATAATAAAGTACCAGTTTGAAATGAAGACTACATGAACTGAAATGAAGAATAATTTACAGGGGATCAACAGTAAAGTAGAGGACGCTGAGAATCAAATCAGCAATTTGGAATATGAAGAAACAAAGAACACCCAAACAGAAGAGCAAAAAGAAAAAAGAATCCAGAAATATGAAGATAGTATAAGGAGCCTCTGGGACAACTTCAAGAGGCCCAACATTCGTATTATTGGGGTGCCAGAAGGGGAAGNNGCCCGGCTGGGCGTGGCTCAATGGTTGAGCGTCAACCTAGGACCCAGGTGATTGGGGTTCGATTCCCGATCAGGGCACATGTCTGGGTTGTAGGCTTGATCCCCGGTCGGGGGCGTGGGCGTGCAGGAGGCAGCCGATCAG